AATATATAAACCATATGAGGTGGGTCAAATAAATCAGATAAGAAATAAAGTGACCATTATGGTCGATAAATCTTATCTTGAATAGAATAAATTACAATAAACGACGACGTCAGAGATTACAAAGCAAACGCAGAGTTGTCTCCCTTGGTTATAAAAAATATCTACGGCGATAAATATAAATCATCCATGTTTTTAGTAAATTTCAATTCAGTTCTGAATTGTAAAATACAAAACCCAATAAATCTAAGACATTATTTAATTAAAAAGGCTTTTAATGGTTTTATGAATAATATATATTAAGGACACTATTGTCTGAAGCAATAATATTTTTCCGATGAAAAATGAATTTATACAAGAATTGTTTTCTTTTTTCAAATTTGAAATACAAAATTTGATAAATTTGTTAAATATTAAAAATTAAGTTGTATTTTTGGAAATGCTGTTATTAAAAATATCTGTTTTTACAGATCATAAATTTGAAAGCTTATTACAATCTTCGACACGATAAACTATGGATGCACCTTTCAGAAACAATAGGTCACATGTTTTAAGAGAAATGCCTTAAAATATTGCTTTGTTTTCCTTCTGGCTAGCACGTATCAAATTCTCAGAGTGACCATCATTGTCGCATTTTCAAAATTTTTAATTTTCTTTTTCACATCCTATTTCATTAAATATTTTAATTTCATTTTTTTAAATATAATTAATTTATTGCTTTTTAAATGAGAGATAAACTTCAATTATTAATTATTTTCTTTTTTAGATTCAATTTTAAGGACGGAAACAGTTCAGGTTTTGGACATATCTTTGTCTAAAAAAATACCTAAAAACATCCATAAAATATTAGTCATTTCAAAGTGTTTAATTTTTAAAATTTACTTTATAGTTAAATAAGCAAGTACACTTAAAATTCGAAAATACTGTCACTTCTGTCCTTCCGTCCTAACGTTAGTTGTCGATAAATTGACATAAACGTCAATTCACACCTCCAAAACCAATCACCACGAATAGACATGCTTCTCTTATTTTCAACTAATTTTTTTCTGCGTAAATATTAAGTAATGTTTGTTTCCAATTACATTAAGTAAACTTTAAATTTTCTAATTTTCCTCAAATAACTTTTGAAAAAAATATAATTGAATATTAAACGGAGAATTTCACTTTTGTTTTATAAAGTTGTTAAAATGGCTGATATGATTGATTTTATATCAATTTCACTGACTTAAAAAAAAACAAGATTTTTAATTAAAATTTTGGACGTGCTAGGAAAGATTAAAAAATCTAAAAAAAAATAATCAAAAATACTTTGGTCTTTCCTCTTAATAATAATATAAACATTTAGACGATAAAAAATTGTTTAACATGTTTGGGACCTTTTTAATCAGGGTATGCTCTTTTTTTAGCGAAGTAGTAAAGATACCTAGACAAGAATTTCACAGCAAGACCAGAATTATTAAGAAGCAAAAATTTCACGAATGATCATTCTTCGCGATTATTCGCAGAACATCTGAGAAAACGAACGAATATATCTGACAACCTAGTATCAACGATCGAGTAGAAAAAAGAATAGAAATTAGTAAATCATAAATTGTACAAAGACATAATGTATGGTCATTAGCCAAAAGGGCAGCCGAAGATGCAATCTACAAATGGGGGATGTCAGAAGAAAGTAATTACAGAAATTTAACTATCTGGGAAATGACTATGGAAAATATGACACAGAAATTTGAAGTTACATCGTAATGATGAAAATCTAATCTGATCCGAAATAAAATTTCAATAACGTTAGACAAATGTTTCACGGAATGACCAGAGTTACTAAGAAGCAAAAAATTCTACAAAACATAATTCTTCGAGATCATTCGCAAAACATCAGAAAAAAACGAACGAATATATATGACAACCTAATATAAGGACCTGGAGATAGGAATTGCAATTGCAATAATGTAGCATTTAAAATACAGCTATCCCAGAAAACCTCTCGACCTAATATATCGCGTGAGGATTAAGAACTTATACATGATTTTGCCTTATATCTATTGAAAAGGACAAGAGTTATTCTGTTTCATACTAAAGAATTATACAGAGAATTTGGTAAGAATCACAGTTGAGGTTCGAATCAAAGGGCCTCATTGGCAATACATGCGCTCAAAGGGACCAGCGATTGGACAGTATTTCGGGTATTAGAGTGAAGGTGACAGTAGTGACCACAGCTAGAATTTAAATTTAGGGTATTACAAATGTTGGTAGCAATTTTACCAATCTCTACTGGCTTCGAAACTAGGGTACCTTACCGTAGCTTTGTCTATGACAAGCCTACCACAAAAATATTAAACAAATTATCACCGATCTTTAAAGCCGTCCTGTCGGGCGGTATTTAAGCTAGCTCTTGCAGAGAGCTCTTAATTGGACCTTTGGCACGTTCTGGAGTTTTGGAGTCCATAAGTTTTTGCATATTCTCATCATTGGAAACTCTCCTAGCTGCCTTTTGATCTGGGTTGCACGGGACTTTCTTTTCCTCGTTACAGCTTTGGCTCTTTTCATTGCAATCTAGTCCTCTGTTGGCAGAGATTTCTTTTTGTGAGGCATAGTGCTGCTGTATGCGATAGACAACAATAAACTACAGAACTCAAAATTGATCGTACTACATTAATATTTAACGTTACCTTTTACAACTTCAATGATAATTCTTCTGCCGCCACTTAATTTAGAGACAATTTGCTGTACGTAGGTCCTTACTTTCCGTACAAACAATTATTTTTAATTCATGGGTGACTTTCACTGGATTTCGCATTTGATTTCGATTATTCCCAAATTTACTTCCAAATCATAAAAATTGTTATCGTACAAAAAATTTCTCGCAAAAAATCACATCAAAAAATCGCCGAAAACAATCGCATTAATGAAAACTTGGAAATCCAAAGTTTCTGTAACATAAGCTATTGAAAGTTAAAGAGTTGTTTCCCTTTAATTGAAGAAGTGTGACACAGTGACATTTGCATTTATTATATAGATTTGTCATGTGCGTGGCTTGTCGGATCTACATTCTGCGACCAACCTTCGTATTATCTTCTAAAATATTCATATACAAAGAAATATTTGCGAATATATATTTTAATAAATGATATTTTCTTGATGAAATTAGGCGTTTTATTCAAAATGGCCAACGGGTTGCATGACTTCTCGACATTTTGCTTAATGTGCGTTTTCTAAAAACGACGTTGAATGCAGTACTTGAAATAATATATTATTGATAAAGTAATTCTTCTTCTTCTTTATGTCTTGTCCCTTCAAGGCGTGAACGATCATGGCTCTCCACAATTTCCTATCTTTTGTCGCTCTTAGCAGTGTTTGTCTTTCTTCTTACTATCCCTCCCTATCCATGTTCTGCCATCAATTGACACAAGCTCGTTCGGTATGTTTCTTGCTGTTTTTCTCTGTTCTTCCTATGTCCCGTGAGTGTCAAATTTTCCAAGCTTTCTTTCCTCTATGTATTCCAAGCTCCCCAGATTTAGAACTTAAAAGCTGTCATTTCAATCACTAGAATATTTCACAGATGGCAGACCATTCTGATAGGTTCTTAGGTTTGTCTAGTTTTAAGGCATATCAACCTAAATGCCGGCAAGATTTTTATTGCTGGTCATAATTTTTTTCTAAAAATGTATACCTTATTATGTATTCCAAAGATTCCAACTGTCTCTTTCTAATTTTGAGTTCATTTTTAACATTTTCTTTAAAACTTTCTCGTTGCTTACACGAAACTTTTGCGTTTTACAGTTTTCTTCAAATATGGCTGACGCTTTTCTCGGTTTTGCAGGCAATCGTGGATTTGATGGAATATCTGGATAAGAATTTGGTAACACTCAATCAAAATTTAGTAAGCGCCAACTTCAACCGAATTTTGGATTCAATCTGGGTAGAAGTCCTCAAAGAATTCCAAGACGTTATGATCACCGAAGACATGGTAAGTGAACGCTTGTCTTATTCAAACGAATAAACAGTTGTTAATCATTTTACTTGCTGCTAAATCGTCTGTCTACATATTCAAGCTTTAAAACAACACTTTCATTAGAAATAAATGAATTCCGTTTATATGCCAATATTATTGTTTATATATGACGCGTTTTTCGGAGGAGGGGCGTATTCAATATTTGAAAAATTTGCGGCAAAACGCGCTTAAAGGTTTTAGGCAGTTTTGATCAACATTTCTTTTCCTGGTCAGCCGTAAAGAATTGTAAATGTAGGACTACCTCACACTTAAATAAAATAATAACAATAATATTTATTAAGAATTTATTACAGGAAATATCAAGTTTTACGGAAACATTGTTGACAATTATGTATTTAGTTACATAACAAATAAATAAAAATAATATAAATTTTAATTCGATTGATGTGAGGTATTTTTCATTTTCTCCTTTGTTATTTGCAGCATTTTAGAATACTTTGGCTTCAGTGCTAAGTTTCCTAAGTTGAACAAATTGAAGCTATTTCGTTTACGCTTTGTTACCTCTCTTTTCTAGTATTGCTTTTAGATCTTTCTTTCAGTCATTTTGATGGGAAATAGCGAAATTCTGAAATTTAGAATGATCTTATTTCTATTTCAAAAACAGAGCCTGTAAAAAGGAATATTTTAAATTAATATGCGACCAAAAATAAAATTCTTTTGACAAAAAAAAACCTTAATGATTTCACTATAAAATAATGTAATAATATTCTGTAGACAAAGCTGCTGTTTATGTTATCACATCTCATTGCATGGTTACGTTCTATAAACCTAAACTAAGCTTGAAATATTGTGTAATCGGCTCTAATTTTTCGTAAAATACTTGGATATAATATAATGAATAATCTGCAGTGAAAAAGTAATTTTCGATTTTTTGTTGAATACGCCCCTCCTCCTCTGAACGCGTCTTATAAACGATATACATTTTATTACTAAAATAACTAGATTGTGACGAAGTTCTCGTAAAAATAAAGAAACTAAGTAAAGTATTAAGAAACAGGAAAATATTAGAAATAAAAGAACCGCAGGCTGAACAGCTATGCGATATCTAGCGTTTATATATAAATTAAATCTGTGTCTAGAGTCATATCACATTTCACATTTTAACAACTCTACAGCTATCACACTGCAGAATATTTAAAAACAACAGAGATAAAAAAAACAAAAACAATTCCAAGAAAAATACGTTCTTTACGATTAGAAATTCTTCTTCGTCGACCATGCTCCCCAGATTTAGAACCTTAAAAGCTGTCATTTCAATCACTATAATATTTCACAGATGGCAGACAATTCTGATACGTTCTTAGGTTTGTCTAGTTTTAAGGCATATCAACCTAAATGCCGGTAAGATTTTTATTGCTGGTCATAATTTTTTTTTAAAAATGTATTTCTGGTAATAAAACCTATTTTGTACCCTTTCATAGTGTTTTGACCGCAGTTTGGAGGTTAACTATTTGCCCATAGCTGGGACCCTGACAGGTGCTAATACCCAGGGTCAGGGTAGACCTGATAACATCAGCAATTAAGAGGTGGTACTACGCTCCTCAAAACCTTGTGATCAGAGGCGTGTGTCACCGGATGGAATTTATCATCATCCCGAGAATGCGGATGTAGTTTATTGTCTTATTCAGGATGTCTCATTTGGGATGGGGTCTTACTCCTCTGCAGTGGTGCAGTTGGCACATTCTGAAGCCCCAGCCGACAGGGAGAAGACCATTTTGAAACAAAGAAGTTGTAAACAGGCTTCAAAGGTTTTCGGAGGTAAAAACCGTTTCTTTAAATGTGGAAACTAAAAAAATCCATCTCCGTTGGACTGAAGTCATTAATTATGTTTCTGATAAAGAATATTTAAATAAATTTAATTCGTTTTTAGATAGCTTCTAGTAAAACGTAATTACGTTGCAAAGCTCACCTCGTTGTTACGAACCTGTTGTTAGTAGGTCAGGGGTCATCCGTTGAACAAAAATTAAGTGTTGAGAAAATAGACAGACAAAAAGAGTGATACAAAACAAAATAAAAAAAGAATATTTATTCTTTCGTGTAGAGAACATTTCAAGGAATGTTCTTAAGATTCCTTATAAACAACGAGGGAAAATTACGCTTACTCTGTCCGTGAATTAGCGAGCGTTTGGGATGTACGCCATGTTACATCTGCTTTACGGAGCACTAACTTTAGCGTCCTATCACGACCTCGGCCTGAGATGAAAGAGAACTAGCCACTCACGCGTAAATATCCTTGGAAAAAGTATGACCACCGCTTCTTCTCCCAGTTATGGATTAATTAAAAGGACTTGTATGAGTGAATTATTATTAACTCCACTAAATTCTTACATTCTGAAATTATTTTGTGGCATTAAATAATCTGTAAAATAACCTTCATCTCTCTCTCTCTCTCTCTCTCCCTCTCTCTCCCTCTCGCTCTCTCTTTCTCTGCCACTTTCTGCGCGTGTCTGTTTCTTTTTTCTTTCCATTTTTTTCCTCTCTCTCTCTCTCTCTCTCTCTCTGCAACATTCCGCGTATGTGTTTCTTTTTCCTTTCCACTCTCTCCATCTCTCTCTTTCTCTCTCTCTCTCTGCCACTTTCTGTGTATGTGTTTCTTTTTCTTTCCACTGTCTCTCTCTCTCCCGCTTTCTATATGTGCGTGTGTTTCTTTCTTTTCTTTCCTCTCCCTTTATCTCTTTCTCTCTACTTCTTTGCGTGTTTTCTTTTACATTCCCCTCTCCATGAACCTTTTCTATCTATCTCTTTCTACGTTCGTGTGTGTGTGTTTCTTTTTTCTTTCCTTTCTTTTCATCTCTTTTTTTCTGCCTCTTTCTACGTGTGTGTTTCTTTTTTTTCTCTTCATCTCTTTCTATCTGCCCCTTTTTTAAACGTGCGTGTACGTGTTTCTTTTTTCTTTCCCTTCTCTTCTTCTCTTTCTCTCTGCCTCTTTCTAAGTGTATGTTTCTTTTTTTCTCTTCATCTCTTTCTCTCTGCCTCTTCCTACGTGCGTGTTTCTTTTTTTCTTTCCTATCTTTTCATCTTTTTCTTTCTGCCTCTTTCTACGCATGTGTTTCTTTTTTTCTCTTCATCTCTTTCTCTCTGCCCCTTTCTACGTGCGTGTATGTGTTTCTTTTTTCTTTCCTTTCTATTCTTCTCTTTCTTTCTGCCTCTATCTACGTGTGTGTTTCTTTTTTTCTCTTCATCTCTTTCTCTCTGCCCCTTTCTACGTGCGTGTATGTGTTTCTTTTTTCTTTCCTTTCTATTCTTCTCTTTCTTTCTGCCTCTTTCTACGTGTGTGTTTCTTTTTTTCTCTTCATCTCTTTCTCTCTGCCCCTTTCTACGTGCGTGTATGTGTTTCTTTTTTCTTTCCTTTCTTTTCATCTCTTTCTCTCTGCCTCTTTCTACGCATGTGTTTCTTTTTTTTCTCTTCATCTCTTTCTCTCTGCCCCTTTCTACGTGCGTGTATGTGTTTCTTTTTTCTTTCCTTTCTTTTCATCTCTTTCTCTCTCCCTCTTTCTACGCATGTGTTTCTTTTTTTTCTCTTCATCTCTTTCTCTCTGCCCCTTTCTACGTGCGTGTATGTGTTTCTTTTTTCTTTCCTTTCTATTCTTCTCTTTCTTTCTGCCTCTTTCTACGTGTGTGTTTCTTTTTTTTCTCTTCATCTCTTTCTCTCTGCCCCTTTCTACGTGCGTGTATGTGTTTTTTTTCTTTCCTTTCTTTTCATCTCTTTCTCTCTCCCTCTTTCTACGCATGTGTTTCTTTTTTTCTCTTCATCTCTTTCTCTCTGCCCCTTTCTACGTGCGTGTATGTGTTTCTTTTTTCTTTCCTTTCTATTCTTCTCTTTCTTTCTGCCTCTTTCTACGTGTGTGTTTCTTTTTTTTCTCTTCATCTCTTTCTCTCTGCCCCTTTCTACGTGCGTTTATGTGTTTCTTTTTTCTTTCCTTTATCTTCTCTTTCTCTCTGCCTCTTCCTACGTGCGTGTTTCTTTTTTCTTTCCTTTCTTTTCATCTCTTTCTTTCTGCCTCTTTCTACGTGTGTGTTTCTTTTTTTCTCTTCATCTCTTTCTCTCTGCCCCTTTCTACGTGCGTTTATGTGTTTCTTTTTTCTTTCCTTTATCTTCTCTTTCTCTCTGCCTCTTCCTACGTGCGTGTTTCTTTTTTCTTTCCTTTCTCTTCATCTCTTTCTCTCTGCCCCTTTCTACGTGCATGTATGTGTTTCTTTTTTTCTTTCCCCTCTCTCTTGTTAGTATTTGATTTCATAAATGCCAATAATTATTTCCCTTTTTTTTTATCTCACAGAAGCAACAAATATTTTACCAACGAATGTTCGATGCCTTAACCTTACTTGTAGATTTTTTCTATGCTAACAACAAAGGGCTGAGTATGGATACAATGTTGTCCGACAGGCAATTTCAGGTGAGTTATTGCTTTCATATATATTTAATAGAAGTAGATAGGTTCGCCTATCGCCCGGTTCAAACTCCTCTCCGGTCTTTTGGACAGGAGTAGAGGTTTATCTCTTGGTTCCTGTTTAGGATTGGGTTCCTGGTTCCATCTAAAGTCTACTTCAACTCTCTACTTCACATATATCCGTCTGGACTCTGAAATGTTATTTACTTATTTTTCTCCTCGATAGGAGTAAATAAGTTTGCCTATTGCCTGTTCACACTCCATCAGGTCTTTTTAACAGTAGAGATTTATCCCTTTTTTCCTGATTAGGATTGGGTTTACGATTTCATTTCAAGCATTCAACCAGTGACTGGGTATGATGTCATTTTCTCTACCACCGGTAAAACAGTGGCCAGCGATCAAAGCACAAATCTTGTTTGCCAGTCGATAAACACTATATTTATTTTCATTTAATGAGTTAATATATTTTTGTGACACCTTGTATACTTCTGTTAGTATAAGTTTAAATTCTAAAAAAAAAAGTAATTAGTAATGAAAATTCAATACGAAAAGTTAAGAGGTGTCGAACGCGGTCAGTACTTATATGGGGGACAGCTTAGGATCTCTGGTTATTGTAAGCAAAGCTCCTTCAACCCGAAATATGTTTCGGCTTTAAATACCCCACAAAAGATTGATAAGCCGTAAAAAAAGACGAATCAACCCGCTGTTATCAAAACGGCGGACGTATACATTGGGAGGTTGAAAAATACCCGTCCCGACTGACCAGATATCAATTTATTTTTTTTATTTTTTTGTTTTTAATCTATTCACCCCAAACAAGGCGATAATGCCACTAAGACTCAAGTGACTACTGGAAGTGAAAGAGAAGAAAAACGAACCCGAAAGAGAAGAAAAACGAACCGGAAACCCAATTCTACACGGGAAACAAGTGATAAACCCCTACTCCTGTTCAAAAGACCGAGTAGAAGTGCGAGTTGGACGATAAGCGAACCTATCTGCTGTAATTAAAATTAGAATACGCTAACGAATAAATTTGTTTGCAAATTGATGATGCTATGGCTAATTTCATTCGACTTTCTATTTGTCAGGATCTGCGGGAGCAGCTTGCCTTGCATAAAGAAGACACAAGAGATTTAATAGAACAATTCTACCAAGAAAAATTGGATGAACAGGTTCGGGTCTTTTCAGATTTCGTTATATTAATATCTTATCGTTTTTCTTTCCCCTATCTTCACAACTTTCCCTCTATCTCTTTCTACGAACGTGTTTCATTTTTCTTTCCTGGCTCATGACCTCTTTCTCTCTATCTCTTTCTACGTGTGTATTTCTTTTTTCTTTTCTCCCTCTTCATCACTTTTTCTCTATTACTTTCTATGTTTCATGTTTCTTTTTTCTTTCTTCTCTCTCTTCATCTCGTTCTATCTCTTTCTACGTGTGTTTCTTTTTCTTTCATCTTTCTTCAACTCGTTCTAACTCTTTCAACGTGCGTGTTTCTTTTTTCTTTCCTCTCTCTCTCTTCACCTCGTTCTATCTCTTTCGACGTGTGTTTCTTTTTCTTTCATCTTTCTTCAACTCGTTCTAACTCTTTCAACGTGCGTGTCTCTTTTTTCTTTCCTCTCTCTCTCTCTCTTCACCTCGTTCTATCTCTTTCGACGTGTGTTTCTTTTTCTTTCATCTTTCTTCAACTCGTTCTAACTCTTTCAACGTGCGTGTTTCTTTTTTCTTTCCTCTCTCTCTCTTCACCTCGTTCTATCTCTTTCGACATGTGTTTCTTTTTCTTTCATCTTTCTTCAACTCGTTCTAACTCTTTCAACGTGCGTGTTTCTTTTTTCTTTCCTCTCTCTCTCTCTTCACCTCGTTCTATCTCTTTCGACATGTGTTTCTTTTTCTTTCATCTTTCTTCAACTCGTTCTAACTCTTTCAACGTGCGTGTTTCTTTTTTCTTTCCTCTCTCTCTCTTCACCTCGTTCTATCTCTTTCGACGTGTGTTTCTTTTTCTTTCATCTTTCTTCAACTCGTTCTATCTCTTTCTACGTGCGTGTTTCTTTTTTCTTTCCTCTATTTTCATCTCTTTCTCTCTATCTCTTTCTACGTACGTGTTTCTTTTTTTTCCTCTCTCTTTGTCTCATTCTGTCTATCTTTCCTTATAAGGAAACATTCGTCATTTTTACCTATTGAAGTAACACAACTACCGTAAATGTGATTATATATTTCAAATTATTCAACAATCATGAGATATTCATGATTAGAATGATATCAGAGAGAGCAATACAAATGCAGAAGAATGTGAAATTATGTTTTATCGATCACGCAAACGCATTTGGCAAGGTACAGCACAAAGATCTATTTGAACTGCTAGGAAAACTCGAATTAGTTGGAAAAGAAGTTAGAATAATCTAGAACTTACACTTGGAGCGAACCGTCTGCATATGGATGGAAAATGAATTGAGTGGCACTTTGCTACTTCGGACAAATATATCCCTTTCTGGGACATATCACGCTATAAGATACGCAAATGACACTTGATGGCTAATTTGAAAAGAAAACTACAGTTCCTCCTAGATAGGTCGGTAGAATAAAGCGAGAAAGAAGACTATCAACTTCAAGAAGACAGAAAATATTGTCATCAGCAAGAGAAAAAAAAAAACAAGATGCGATTTACGAATTGGAGATATAAACATCAAGCAGGTGCAGAAGTTCAAATACCTGAGAAGCATTTTAACAGAGGATGGAAAATGTGACACCGAGGTCCGAAGTACGCATTGGACTAGTGAAAGAGGCATTCCAAAAACTAAGCAAGGTGCTGAGAAAAGAAAACATTTCGCTAGAAACGAAAAAGTGTTGGATTGCAATGTGATATTCATCCTCTTATATGTCAATGAATGCTGGACAATTTCCCCATGAAGGAAAAAAAAACTTAGAAGGATTAAAAATGTGGTTCTACTGAAAATTCCATGGAGTAAGCAATGAAGGAAATCTAAAAGAAAATAACAACAAAAACGACATTTATACTCAGAATAAAAAAAGAGACAGCTGAAATTCCTTGGACACATAATGAGGAAGGGGAGCTTGGAAAACTTAACCATCACGGGGCATATTGAGAGCAACAGAGATAGAAGTGAAGGAGCCACCTACCTGATAAGATTGTGTGAATGGATGATGGAATAGGAGATGGTAGATGCCATAAGTGATAGGAAGTTGTGGAGAGACATAATCGCTTATCCTGAACGGATGTGGCACAAAGAAGAAGATTTCCAATTCCAATCGTGACCGCTGCTTTAGAAAGTATTCTTTAAATGCTGCTATATAACTGCCAACTCTCCGGTAAGTAAAGCTTAGCCGAAATGCAAAGAATTTCACATAGAGGAACTTCTCAAATCCTTCGGAAATTGCTATTATTCTGACATTTTCTTGGGTAACTGTTCTATTCGCTTTCAAAAGTTACTTAAAAAATCTCATTCAATCTTTTAAGTTTTTAATTTCTAAAGATTTTTGAAATTCTAAAGCTATCTTAAATTTATTTTTTTTAGCATTTCACAAAATTGGGTTTAAGGAATTTTAACACTGAATATTTTTTATTCGATTTTAGCCTTTTTCTAATTTTTCTTTTTTTTTTATCCCGCTTCGAAATTCTTAAAACAAACACATTGCTATCAGTTATGACGTCAACTCGCTATCTCTTGTGCTTTCTGATTGAAACCTTAAGCAAATCGTTTAGCAAACACGCGGGTTATAATAATAATAATAATAATGATAATAATAATAAAATCTATTCAATTCTTATTGATTTGAAGTTATTAATACATGACAAATACCTGTTGTTATATATCCATCCAATGTGTATTCCAGCTTTATTGTTGGAAACCACTTTCTTTACTGTGTAACTTCTCGCAGCGCTTAGAAAAGTGAAAATATTCCAGCGTTTATAGATAGATAGATAGATAGATACGAACAGAACTAGACACATAAAAGCGAATAGGACTAAATAGATAGATAGATAGATAGATAGATAGATAGATAGATAGATATGGGCATTTTTATTATTGTTTTGTTTATTTTTTATTTTATTTATTTACTTTTTATATAATGTGATTGTTTTTTATTTTTTATTTCTATTTGGTCTATTTTATTTGTTTATTTTGTGTATTTATTTTTATGTATATATTTTTATTTATTTATTTTATCTTATTTTATTATTTTTCATTTTATTTCAAATTTCGGCGCAATATAATAGTTCGAAAGGTATTCTAATTATCTATTGCTACTGAATAATGAATTTGGTTTTCATTAGGCTCCCCATGCTTGTGACCTTGTACCAAACTAAGCTAAGCTTAAGCAATGGCAGGCTACCATTTTATATTAAACAGAAAAAAATCTCCTTTTTTTTCTTTTCTTTTTTTTTTTTTTTTTGCCTGTGGCTACAATTAACAAGAGAATTACGAACAAGTGTTTCCCACAACACCAGTTCCTTCCAGAACACCGAAGTGAAGTTAAGCAATGATGTGTTGGCTCAGTATTTAAATAGGTGACCACTTATTTATCTTATGTTCCAGATTTAACAAAGTTTAATAATTAATTACAATATAAAAAATTATCATTTTAAAATTTCTTGTCAAATTACAGCCCTTTTTCTATTTTGTTGCAGGAGCAAACAGAAACTAGTCCCTATGGCACTCTAAACGTTCGGGTTTTCTACAAATATGACATCCAAACTTTATTAGTCGAAGGTAAGACGGTTCGTTTGCTTTTGTATCTATATTTGTCTTTATCATTTCACCTCAGGAAAGGCGATAATTCCACTAAGACGCATGGGGTTATTGAGAGTAAAAGAGAATGGGAAGACATTAGAAGTAACCGGAAACCCAATTCTAAACAGGAAACAAGGGATAAAATTCTGCAGCAGTTTAGCAGACGAAGAAGGAGTGTGAACCGGAAATTAGGCAAATCTATTTACTCCTATATTCAAAATGTCCTTACTAAAAATATCCATTTTCAAAATGTCCGTTTTCATAATGTCCTTTCTTAAAAATTCAGTTTTCAAAATTTACGTTTTCGAAATGTTCCTTCTGAAAATGTCTTTTTTTTAAAATATCTGTTCACAAAATGCCCGTTTTCAAATAGTCCTTTCTCAAAATGTACGTTCTCAAAATGTCCGTTCTCAAAAGTCAAGTTTGAAAAATGTTCAAAATGTCCATTCATAAAATTTCAGTTTTTAAAATCTCCATTCTCAGAATGTCCTTTTTATAAATGTCCGTTCTCAAAATGTTCGTTTTCAAAATGTCTTGTTTTCAAAATGTCTTGTTTTCAAAATGTCTTGTTTTCAAAATGAGCATTTTTAAAATATCCGTTTTCAAAATGTCAGTTTTCAAAATGTCCGCATCAAATGTGTTTTTCAAAATGTCTGTTCTCAAAATATCCGTTTTCAAAATGTCCGTTTTTATATTTATAATAAGAAGTACATTATTTTATTGAGAAAAGAGATAAATTTATTATTTCAGAAACTGTTTATTTCTTCAGAATATTTTTCACATTTTCATATCTAATTTCAGTGATCAGTGCCAAGGACCTAATCCCACTCGACGCTAACGGTAAGTCTATTATTATTATTATTATTTTCTTTGATTTCTGGCGTTTACACATTTCTTTCCGGGTCCCGCCCAAGGACCCGGAAAGGATAAAACCTTCAGTTTCCGCTTTTAACCCTGCACTACGTAGCCACTGATGGGTACGGGTTTTGTCTACGTCAGCTTGTTTGGTACGGGCAGAGTATTGGCCATGAAGCGGTTTATCTTGGCGTCATGACACTTTCCACTGACAAAAAAAAAAAAAAGAATTAAATTACATAGGTAAAGCCCTTCGTAAGGTGTGGGCTGTACTTGTCAGAACAATTTTTTGTATCTCCTTGAGGCATGGACTTCCAGGAATCCAATTAGTCTACTGCAATCTTTTCCAACCAGTCCTAGGGCTCCAACTACAACAGGGATTGTTGATGTTCCCAAATGCCACATTTTCGAGATTTCTATTTCAAGGTCCTTGTACTTTGACAACTTTTTGAATATCTTCAAAGATACATTGAAGTCAGCAGGGACTGCCATATCAATAAGGAGGCATCGTTTTTGTTTGTGGTCTTTAATAACAATATCTGGCCGGTTGGCCTTGATTGTTCTGTCAGTGTGTATTGTGTAGTCCCATAGAATTGTAACAGGTCCTATCTCCGTAACCGGGTCTGGGTGGTGTTCATACCAGTTTCTTTTCAGTTTCCTTCCCGTAGAAGTTGCAGATTTTCCAGTGCAGATATTGGCCCACTCTGTCATGTCGGGTTTTATATTCAGTGGGTGCCAACACCGTACAACCTGATACAAGATGATCAATCGTTTCTGGATATTTATCACAGAATCTGCATTTTGGGCTGACACAATATTTTAGTATATGTGCTTGATAATTCCTAGTTAGCAAGCATTGGTCCTGCGCAGCAAGGATAAAACCTTCAGTTTCCGCTTTTAACCCTGCACTACGTAGCCACTGATGGGTACGGGTTTTATCTACGTCAGCTTGTTTGGTACGGGCAGAGTATTGGCCATGAAGCGGTTTATCTTGCCATCGCTTCTGTAGCTGGTCGGTTGCATTCGTCTTTGCTGTCTTTTTTAGGTATTTTGCAGTTTCAGCCGGTGTATTGTGCTGTAGTTGCATCTCTACGCCCATTTGAAACTTATTATTATTATTAAGTTAAGCAATGTTAAGCGTTGCCTGTACTGAGATGCTGTAAGAATGGTTTTTTTTTCTGTTTAGAATTTCAAAATACTCTCATCAGATTATGAAATGATCCTTTTCTTCTGTACACATTAAACATTTACAGCTGCTGGGCTTTCACGTGACATCAAGTGACATCAAGTCACCACATTACCCTTTCAAAGCTGTTTACATTTAAACTGTCGACTGGATGATCACGATTTGTCCTCGGGTCTCGGGTTTCCTGTTTTTCTCGCCTTGCCGTCCGGTCGAATGCGACCGCTGCGAGCGTTCCAACAACGACGGACGCAACAGTAACTTTTCCTTTTTCACATTTTTGTTCCGTTCTCTCATAAAAGCGAGATTTTGTTTTCCAACATTTCACTTTCTTTCGACTTTATACTGTGATTTGTTGGAACAAATACAGCCGGTACCTGACAAGTTTTCTTTTTGTTTACACTATTGACATCGTTTGGACTGTTGTCCTCATCTTCGTTGCCATATTCACGTCTCAACTGTTGTACGCTCCGGCCTTCTTCAGGATGTGTCTATATTTCTAAGATGAGGTGTTGTCATTATTTATACTATTTACATTGTTCGGACTGTTGAAGTCATATTTATTGCCATATTCACGACGTTTCGGCCGCTGTACGCTTCGGCCTTCTTCAGGATCTGTCTATATTTCTAAGATGAGGTGTTGTAATTATTTACACTATTTACATTGTTCGGACTGTTGAAGTCATCTTTATTGCCATATTCACGACGTTTCGGCCGTTGTACGCTTCGCTTTCTAAGATGAGGTGTTGTAATTATTTACACTATTTACATTGTTCGGACTGTTGAAGTCATCTTTATTGCCATATTCACGACGTTATATATCATTCGATCCTTGATATACTGTCTCGAATTGTCTTTCTGATTTTTATAGGCTAAATAGAAATTTTTAAAAAGTTTATTTTTATCAACTTCACCCCATGCAAGGGAGTAATACCAATAACACACAAGGGGTTACTGAATGTGAAAGAGTTAGAAAACAGAAAAATTGTTAAAGTGTGAGAATAATAGAAGAATAATCAAGAAGACAATAGATGATGACGAACATTGCATTTAAATTTTAGAAAATTAAAGTTGGCTGGAAAGCATCGAGTTGGGAGAGAGTTCCACAAGTGAGAAGTGCGAGAAAAGAAACTGTTAGCATAGAACGTACGGCTACATCTAACCAGCTTAACTGTAAATTGATGAGACCTCACCGCCATTCTAGTACTGCGCTTAAATTCATAGAGTCTAGTTGTCATAGCGAAGAGTTCATCCGAACAATTACCATGAAAGTATTTATAGAAATAGCAAGTGACTGGAGCTGAGATGCCAAGTCAGGACCAATAATATTGCTAATTCTTCTTTGGATTTTATAAAGGATCTGTAAATATATAGCAGAAGCACCAAACTACATGAGGCACCAACATAGAAAAATGGTAAATTTATAGATATGTAAGATAGATTCTGGAGAGAAAAAATGTCTCGCATGACACAGTGAACCAACTTTCTTAGCAGCTGACCAAGCAATGGATTCAATATAGTCTTTCCATTTCATGTCAGCCGAAAATATTAGCCCGAGAAGATGCAATGAGTCAATCCCTTGGAGGTTAGCATCAGCCATGCAGAACGATGTCTTTCAGATGATTAATCGAAAGCAGTTTTTTGGGGGGGATTAACATGCCATTCTTTGCCCCAGTTAACAAAAGACTGTCATTTTTGACAATACGACGTGGAGCGATTGAGTGGTCATCACGATCACCAGACCTAACACCACCAGACTTTTTCTTCAAGAGTATACTGAAAGATCTTGTTTAGGGGCTCAAACCAAAAAGAATTCCTGAATTAAAACAAGCAATTTCTGCTGAATTTTTTTAAATTAATGTAGAAATGTGTCAAATGGTTTGTAGAAGTGTTGCTGATAAAGTAACGTTGATGCTTGGCTTTAACTGTCTAATATAAAGGACTTCGTTAATTTTTAGTCGCCCCCTGCAATTTGATCGCTATAGAAAACGGTTAAACAATCCTGGTGATATCACCAACCAGTGGGCGATTTCATCTGTTGGGTGGGCGATGAGTAAATGAACAGAAAATGGTGAACGATTCGAAATTTTGGTGGGCGATATAGGATTTTGAGTATTAAAAATTATTTCGACATATGCTGCCCGAAAAAATATTGAAAGAAGATATGACAGGAACATGTATAAAAGCAGAAGGCTAAATGGGAATAACTGGGTCACATTCCGAGATAAAATATAAATATCCCCGTAAACAACGAATATTTCTGTATTTCCTATTGTTTTGAGAAGGGCTATTAACATTCAAACAGTTCTTCAGAAGAAATATTTTTTCGGGTATAAATCAGATCAGGGAAGATCAAGAACAAAAAAAAATATTCGCTGAATTTTTAGTCGTGTATATTCTTTTTAATTTTATAATTATGAACAAAAATCGTTTAATTTTTTGACAGAACGAGCTACGCTAACCCTAACCAAAAAACTAACCTTGACCATAAATCTAAATTATCTATATAGTTTTCAATGGTCAAGTTTTCTTTCGTTTGTTCTTTAATACAGCAGCATGTATTGTTACCTCCCTTTAATATTTTTACTACATCATAAAGCCAGTTTACGAACCAATAACAAACTTTTACCAAACAATTTTGGCGTGCTTTTGAATATTTACTGTACAGGTGAGTGGTGGAATTTTTTTTTTTCATATGAAACTTTGCATCATTCCCTACGATGACGCAGTAAAAAGGTTGGGAATCTCTGGTATAAAATACTGGTTATATGAACGGAAATTTTCCAAATGTGTGCAAGCAGTTGTTTGTGAGTGTCGAGAGCTTTGTTTTATAGCGCTGATATCACTGAAGATCAAAGGCAGCGCAGAAAGTTTAGTCCATCCAAAAAGAAACTGTTAAGTACATTAGAAAAACTGAATAAAAACTTATAAGATTATTCTTTTCTGCTACATTCAATGAAACATATATATATATGTGTGTGTGTGTGTGTGTGTGTGTGTGTGTGTGTGTGTGTGTGTGTGTGTGTGTGTGTGTGTGTGTGTCACAAACTGTTGCACACAGAAAAATTAAAGCATATATAACAAGGCCAGTCGTAAGTGACGATGACGTTTAAACAGAATGCATTTCTTAGAACGTGCGTCTTCTTCTGTGGACGTAACAACTGACTATCCTCACCAAGGAGCTGTCAGGTGTCAACCCTAGAGCCCCTTAAGACATCAGTAACTGTTTCCAAGTTGAAAGGGCGATAATCGCCTTCTGCATCCCTACAGCATTTATGAGATATTCTCTCTAACATTTATTCTCTGTTTATTATTCGTTTTCAGGTTTTAGCGATCCGTTTGTTCTTATCCATTTAAGTCCGGAGCACATCTTTCCAAACATCACTGTACAGAAAACACAGATTATCAAGAAAACGTTGAATCCCATCTTTGATGAACTGTTTGAATTGTAAGTATAAATTAAAACTGAATACTGAAAACCAAAATAGTAAGTATCTTAGCTTCAGGGCATGGGCGATCATGACTCTCCACTACTTCCTGTCCTTTGTAACCCATAGTAAAGTTTGTCTTTTTTCTATATCTCCTAATCTTTGTTCTGCCTACCACTTATTCAAGTTTGATAGGTAGGTTATGCGTTGCTTTCTTCTGTCCTTCTTGTCTTCAATATGTCCTGTGTGTGTTAGATTTTCCAAGCATTCTTTCCTCGTTATGTGCCCTACAATTTTCAGCTATCTCTTTTTGATGCTACGTATACGTTTTCTTTTTGTTTCCACTTTCTCTAAAACTTCGTCGCTGCTCACTCTATAATATTCTCAGCATCCTTCTGTAGAACAACATTTCTGTTGCCCCATCTCTCTTTGCCATTTGTAATGGTCCAGCATTCACTGCCATTTACATAACAGTTCTTTTCTTTATTTCTAACGCAATTTTCCTGTTTCTTAATACTTTGCTTAATTTTTGGAAGACATCTTTCGCTATCCCAATGCGCTAATGAATTTTAGTGTTGCGCTTTCCGTCGTCTATCAAAACACTTCCGAGATATTTGAATTTTTACACTTGTTTAATTTTGGTATTTCCAATTCGTAATTTGCATGTTCGGCTGTTCCTTTTGCTAACAAGCATGCATGCTGTCTTCTTGCAATTAGTGTTTAGTCCTTTCTTCTCGCTTTCTTTTACTACCTTCTGTAGGAGTCCATGTAGTTCTCTTTTTGTGCCTGCTACCAACACTGTGTCATCTGCATATCTAATGTCGTTAAGATTGTGGCCGCCAATAATTATAATAAGGATCTTGGTAAAGCTTCTAGTTCTCTCGGGATTGTTTCATTGTAAAGATTGAATAAGTCGCATCCTTGTCTTAGGCCTATTTCAGTTTTTGTGCATTTACTGAATTTATTTTCTATCCTCATGCAGGCTGTTTGTTCCCAGTTCTTCATTTCTCTAATATCGTGCCAAATAAATCAAGCTTATCTAGAAATTCTAACAGTTCTTTTTGACATCATTTGTCAAACGCTTTCGCGTAATTTATAAAATATAGATATACATGCTTTTGCATTTGTGTTGCTTTAGCTTATCTAATTCTGAGCATAAATATTGCATTTCTTGTTCCAGTATCTTAAAATACGTCTAAAATATTTATATATTTACATGCAGTGATTTCAAGCTCTGTGAAATCGTCCTATTCCTATTCATGGTGTCATTTATACAAGTATGTTTTAATTTGAAATATAACGTTCCGCATAAAAAAATGCCAAATTTTTGTGATGTCAACGAACATTCGTTGCCACTTTTGTAATGCCAACGAATACTCGTTGTTAATTTCGTAATGTTCGTTGTAGTAGAGACTTTGCAATCGTAGGTACAACTATAGTACGCCGTTGAACAATGCTGTGTCAGACGCCTTCGAATAACATTTGCACTAATAGTACTTGCTCGATAATACTTACTCGAATAGTAACTACCGTATAGTGATCCGAATAGAGAAATAGTATAATGAATAGTATAGAAAATAGTGACCCGAATATTAATAGACTAGAAATGGTGAACGTGTAGACGTCACGCTACCTCCTGCTTATGCGATTCCCCATGGAAAATTAATTAATGTTCAAACTCAAGTGTCGGCAGCGACACCTTATTCCTATATAACACAAGTATAAAAAAAAAACAAAGGGGCTTAGAATACTTTCAAGGTAGTTGCTCCCTCCTTATCCAAAAGAATATCGTAAAATAATTTTCCTATTTCAAAACTGTTGGAAAATAACGTTGACTAGTATTTCTTTCATCTTATTCTCTTGCTTTTCTACCAAGTAGTAATAGTGTTAAGTTGTCTGACTTTCTTAGATGAAGTGTTGTCAATTATTATTGTTGTGCCATAGTACCTATTCTTTGGTAATGGACTCTCCCATAGATAATAAGTAGGAGTAGCAGTGGCAAGTCTGGCAGAACGGTGTTGAGAACGTCAGTCGAGATTCGGACATTTGAAGTACCAACCATCACAACTAGATTTGCTGCGTCATTCACTATTATTTCTCAAGTTTTGTACGACTTATTAGAAATACAAGCCTCCACTGTGAAAATACTCCACAACAATTATTCAATTGTTACTCGTATTTCTTTCATCTTATTTCTTTTGCTTTTATACGTCTTAGTAATAGTTGTCTGACTTTCTTAGATGAAGCGATGCAAGTTAAAAGGTTGTGTCTTTGTGTGTATTGTACACACATATAGGTCAGTACCTAAATGGGTGTCCGCTTGGGAACACCAGGCGCTGTAAGCTTGGATGTGCAGGTGGTGTAATGGGTAACGGATAATGGCTCGGAATCTTTAATCGGAGAATCAAATTCCAATTCCGTTGTATTCGTTATATTCACTTACATGGAATACCCTTGCTATAGGATGAATTAGCAAGACTTGTATTACTAAATCATTATTATCCACCCCCCACCCCCAAATCTTACATTCTAAAAATACTTTCTGGTTTAAATAACCTGCAAAGAGTTGATAAATATCGAATTAATCAATATAGACTATTTCGTCGTGGTTATAAGAATCATTACTAATTAAAATATTAATGGCCGTCGCACGCCCATCACATTTATTCCCTGTAAACCTCCTTGTTGGGTTTTTTTATTATTCTGGATCCAACAAATTCCATCCGATTAATTCTAAAATTCTTATAGATATTGCCATAAGTTATCGCAATAATTCTCCCAGCTATAAATAGGAGCAGTTACTGCCTTTTGGAGAAGGAAGTTTCCCATTATGGGGGATATTACTAACATGATTTTGTTTAATTTCTTGTAAATAGACTTTATTCATATTGTTCATAGACATTGAGGACTTTTTTAAATTGTTGTTATATTCCCCTCCACCCACAGACACATGAATTGTACATATGGCGTTTAGTTAGGATTTTCATAGAGACTATGAGATATTATGGTGGATGTAGTAAGAAAGGCAAATACGAATGCGTTGTTGTGGTGTAAGGAATATTGTTGCATGTCTGGATCTGTGTTTGTGGCTAGCTAAGTTTAAAGTTAAGACAGAAGACCGTCCTTTTCCCCATCACCCTTTTTGGCCTTGTGCCACATTTTCTGTATTTAATCAGAAATAAATATCGGGAAGTTTCCAGCAGTCAGCTCTGACAGTCGGGTCGAACGCTCTTGCTGTAACACTCTCGTTTATATATGTTTTGTATTACTGTTTCTGTAAATATATTTGTTTAACTCAATTCCTCTCTTTATGTCTTTATTTCTGTCCCTAACAAGGCCACAACACGAACCTAACGGGAAATTGGAACTTGTCTCTCTGATTAACCGAGCCATTATGTATTACATCACCCACACATCCAAGCTTACAGCAACTGCCAGACGATAACTTGAGTTTTCACTTTCTAGTCTTGATAGAGTCCCAAAGCGTCTCCACCTCCTTGTGGCTGACAAATTATTTTCCCCCCAGCAAGCTCTCTTTCACAGACGAGATGAAACAAGCCTCTCACTGCTCTATAGCTACCTCCATGAAAAGTGCTCGGACGAACTACATTCATTCACTAGTTCACAGCTAGGACCCGCCATGCCACTTACATTGTAGCAACCCCACCCACATTCCCTTCGTATTCCATTGGTGAGAAGTAAGTTTCACTCAAACAGCTTCTTCCCACGAGCCTCTGCCCTTTGGAGCCGACTCCCAACAGGATGTTTCCCTGATCGCTACAGTCTTAGCCTGTTCCAGTCTGGGGTTCTCTCTTATGCGTAAAGACTGCCTCTTTCTCGAGTGCCCACTGGGCCTTGTACAGGGGGAACCTTACTATAAAAAATAAATAAAATGAGCGTCCTATGTCCTGTATCTTTTAGCAATGTTTATCTTTTTACTCACCCTCTTATTATCTATTCTGCCATCCATTAACACCAGCTGTTGTTTACCTCTGTCACTCTTGCTTTCATTATGTCTTGTAAGTGTTAAATTCTCCAAACCCTCTTTTTCTCATTATATGGCCTGACGAATTTTGATTGTCTCTTTATGAGTTTAAGTGTCCTTTTAGTTTCCATTTGCTTTAAAACTTCCTCGTGACTAACATGATCCGCCCATAATCTTTCTGTAGAACTATATCTTTGCTGCCTCATCTCTTCATCTGTGAGGATGAAGAGGAGACAAAGCATATATATTACGCACATCCAACCTTATTCCACTTGGTATTCCCAAGCGGTCACCCATCTAGGCACAGACCAACTCAGCGTTGCTTAACTTCGGTGATCGTATGGGAACCAATGTTTCAACGTGATATGGCCGTAAGCTCTGTGCGTGTGTTTATGAAGTTTGTATGAAAGATTGTGACATATTTTTCAGTTTTTTTTTTTTTTAATCATTTGAATCCAAGCCAGTCGATAACGCCATTAGGGCGCAGGGTGGTTACAGGGAGTGAAAGAGAACGAAAAGACTTTAGTGAGGATATGTGAGGAAAAGGACAACAGGATCCGGGAGGTCAAAAATGGCAATTGACGTGACATTTAAATATTTTTTAAAGATTGTCGTTGACAGGGAAGCAAGAAATCAGAAAGGAAATCCACGAGTGAAAAATGCGAGAAAAGAAACTGCTAGAACAGTTGGTTGCATCTAGCTAGTTCAACAGTAAAACAATGGGACCTAGTTACCAATTTAGTCTTCTTTCTTTTATGTGACGTGTCCCTTCTGGACGTAGGCGATCATGACCCTCCATATCTTTCTGTCGCTTGTAGCTCACAGTAAGTTTTGTCGTTTTGTTATTTATCCCAAACCTATTTTCCCATCCATTTCCTCAAGTCCATATAGTATGTCATGCGTTGCTTTCTCCTGTCCTTCTTTTCCTCTATCCGTCCTGTGAGTATCAAATTTTCCAGGCCTTCTTTCTTCATTACGTGTCCCAGAAATTTGAACTGCCTCTTCCTAATGTTAAGTATACCTTTCCTTTTGTTTTCATTCTCTCTAAAACCGCGTCGTTGCTCACATGTTCGGCCCTTAAGGGGGAAAGTTCATCCGAACACTTGCCATCTTTCTCAGCATCCTTCTGTAGAACCAAATCTTTGTTGTCTCAGATCTCTTCATCTGTGAGGAAACGTTTCAGTATTCACCGCCATATTGGAGGATTGACCCCGCTGCTCGGACATGATGCTATTGTAGTATGTGTTCCGTGGCGAACAACCCCCCCATCCCGCTACTTGGACGCGATTCTGTAGCGTGGCCTTGACTGGCTATGACTAGCTAAGAAAAGCTATGACAGGCTAAAGAAAAAAATTGACAAATGGCTCGGTATTTTACCCAAGTCGTCCCCAGAATAATAATAACCAGGTAAGGTTTGTCTACCTCCACAAACAAGGCACTGCCCTTCGGCATAGCCTGGTCTGGTTTCCTCTCTGACCGATGTTAGAGAGTTCGGCAAGCACTAAGAGTTTAGCGCGCGGCTAAAACCTAATGGTGACTCTAATTGACCAATTACTAAAGTTGAAACATTCGGGTCCTCCATTTAATTAACCTACCTTATGTCGCATCTTAACTCAGTGGTATTGGTATGTAAATACCGCCATATAGGAGGATTTATATTACAAAACAATTCATTTATTTCTCATTTTCCTTTCTTCTCGCTTTTCTTTCCTGTCTTTGTCATGGGATTCCTGCAGTTTCTTTTCTACTTCTGCAATAGACCCTTCTTGAGACTACAAAAGTTTCGAATCCATAGATTGCATCAATCTGTGTATTATACAGACGATAAATGAATTTGCTTTTCTTACCCTAATAACACAGTATCACATTCGGTGGTTACAAAAATTACGCTCCCAGTAGAACAGAAATAATTTGTATTTTTTTTTCTGGTAGCGACATTTTCGCTACGAATTTGTAGCCATTAAAAAATCCGGCAGGTTACAAAACTTCAACGGGAAATAATTCCAGTGTCTACATGGGAGTTGTTTCCCTTTGCAATGCTTTCGTCAACACCACTTCAATGGCGTTTCTTTCATGCATTACTTTGAGTCATAAATAATTTCCGTTTTTATTCGTCAAAAAACAGTAACGTTATATTTCATTCAGTTATATATACACCATTATTTGCAATAATTTGTTGCCACTTATCACATAATTGCATTCTTAGCAAATATTTCTTATGTGAGATAGATAGATAGATAGATAGATATAGATAGATAGATAGATAGATAGATCATATTGGCGTGTCTGCATTTTGACTTTTTCTCAACAAGTTGTATATCTGTCACACCCTGTAATATTCTATCTCTCTATCTAAATCTGTTCACTATCTATATCAGTCTGTACACACACACACACACACACACACACTCATATATATATATATATATATATATATATATATATATATATATATATATATATATATATATATATATTATAAATAGACAAAGTCCGACAATTATTTTAAGACATTTTATGTTTATACATTCTTTGTATAGATAAAATATGTTCTGTTTATAATAAACAGTATTAAACAACATTTACTGGCCTGAATGTCCGAGAAATTTTCACAGAAAATATATAATGAGGAAAGAGGGTTTGAAGAATTTAACACTCACAAGACATAATGAAAGCAAGAGTGACAGAGGGAAGCAACGGGTAACCTACCTATTTTGTCTTAATGGATGGCAGAATAGGGAATGAGAGTGGGGGGTAAAAAGACAAACATTGCTAAGAGATACAAGACATTGGACGCTCATTTTATTTATTTTTTTACAGTAAGGTTCCCCCCTGTACAAGGCCCCTCTCTCTCTCTCTCTCTCTCTCTCTCCATATATATATACATACATATATACATATATAAAGATTTGAAAAAATTCACACACACCCGGTTTTCCACCTTACGGTCTCATCAGGTGGTTACTCGTAAATAATAGTAATCCCTAGCATTATTCAATCCCCGCTACAAAGTAGAAATATCAGAAGGGGAGGGGAAGAACCGGAAAAAGAAAAACTGTAAATGTAATCCTCCGTTTCACATTTTTATTTGCGTGTCTGCATTTTGACTTTTTCTCAACAAGTTGGATCTGTCAGTCTGTTATGTGCGATACACGCTTACATGACTGACGAGGCAGATTTTTTTTTCCGCAGTAAGTTGCTATTTCTTTCTGCATTAAACTATAGAACCCGGTCTGTCCTGCTATTTATATATGTTAGGGGAGAGGAAGAGGATTCATACGTTCCCCCAAGGATATTGGCACGTAAGTGGAATTCGAACTTGGCTCTCCGATTCCTCATTCCGAGCTGCTATCCATTACGCTACCGTCTGTGTCCGGTTTGCCCTGCTATGTACAGGTATGTCACTATAACCAGATTTTCCTCTTGGTACAACTTACAAACAGTGCCATTAAAACTGCAAGACTTAACCTTTTCCAAAACACTCCATCTTATTCCGGGGTTTCTGTTAGATCTTTTTTTTGAACTCCGACACACGGCTTGTCAGCTTTGAACAACGACTAACAGTTTTATCTATCTATCTATATATATATATATATATATATATATATATATATATATATATATATATATATATATATAGTGTGATGTAAAATTATCGCCATTTTATATTTTTAATTTCGCGCATGCGCGTTCTTTGTTGTTGATTTTCTGTTTACATATATCTAACTGTTTGTCTTTTCCAGTCCCGTTAGTCCGGAACAGTGTAAACACAGAGGTGCTGCTATTCAATTCGTTGTTATGGACCATGACTTCATGTTTCAAAATGACATCGGTGGGGAAGCCTATTTGCCACTGAGTGAGATACCCGGCGTCAGTGGGGGAGAAGTGACCGGCTTCGAAGCCCTGAACATACTTTCCATGCCGCTTTTACATCCACGCCATAAAGGTAGATATAAAAAAGTCATAAATACAAATGAACGTGTATAGAAAGAATTATCCTTTCATGTTAATGTTAATCTCTGCCAAGTTAGCAATATTTTATTTTTAGTCATTAGTGTGACTCTGCTTACAGCTGAACCTTAATGACGTCACTGATATTGAACATTATTAGTAGTAGTAGTATTTCCTATATGTACCTCAACGAAATCGCTACAAAGTCAACATACCGTGATGAAAACCTGCTATAAATGTAATGAAAACTTTAAGAGGAAGGATCAAAGTATTTTTGAATATTTAATTAAATTATTTACACCTTTTTAAAACATTCGAAATTTTGATTAAAAAACTTGTTTTTCTTGCGTCAGCGGTTGTACTAATTTTTTATCATAGCAAATTTTCGCCTCCTTTCTGTGGTGAAAGACACATTAATTTTGAAATTCTTACAAAAATCAAATAATCGTCGGATTTTAATTAAAATTTTCAGGATTTATTCACAAATGAATAAAATTACTTTTGAATTTTTTTATTAGAAAATCTTAATTTTTTTTATATTTTTCTTCCCCTTAGTTAATTTTAGAAAAACTTGAGAAATTCAAAGTGATAATTTTTAGTGACTATATTAGTTAAAAGCAGAAAAATTTAAATCACCGAATTTTTATTGCAAAATCGAACTCCGACTTATCAAAAATCTGTTCTGAATCGAAAAATAAAAACTCAATAAAACTAAGACATTATTTAATTAGAAAAGCTTTTAATTGCTTTTCTGAATAATATATATTAAAGACAATTTTGTCTGAAAATCTTTCAATGAAAAACAAATTTTTACAAGATTTGTTTTCATTTATTTACAATTTTAAATTGAATAATTCATAAACAATTTAAATCATTTAAAATTCACTTTCAATGTGATAACTCTTAGTAAATATTGTAATTGAGTAAAACTATATTTATTAATCATATATTGTAAAGCTTATTACAATCTGACAGCCCCGAATATTTTAAAAAGAATTTCAATTTGTTTTTGTATGTGTATATACGTGTAGAATTTCTGAAGTATGGATTGTCAAACCTATAACATTATCATTAAAAGGTCACGTGTTTTAAGGTTTGTTCCCTCACTTACGGAAAAAGAAACTCATATAAACTTTATCGTCTGCTTCACCATACTTAACTATAAACACATTTGGCGGTCATTCGGCTGTAAATAAATCGATTAATACGTCAGAAAAACAAGACCCCGTAGTTAAGAAATGTTTGTATATAACATTTAATACTGTAAGTAATATTTGTTTCAATTTCAGATTATTTCAACATTAAATATGATAATTTTCTTCAAATAACGTTTCAGATATATATGTTTTATTTTTGCAAGATTTTTCAAACCTTTATTATTATTATTATTATTATTATTAAAAACAAATGATTGACGTAACTCTTCCAATGTTTTACAACACTTACAGAAGGGTGCAATTTAAGAAATATTAATTGTGAAAAGCTTTCTTAAATCACACCCTTCTTTAAGCGTATTATTATTATTATTATTATTATTGATCTATCATGGTACTATTGTTGTGTAGATGTCTTGACTACCAGGAATGATACAGCCTGTCAAATCACAATAATGTCCTTTAGACAAACGATACTTTTCGAAGTATATATATTGTATCCAATAAGACATTATGGTAGCATTCGTTGTCCGTCATATTCTTTAAACTTCAATGGAATGGGGCCCCGAGTGTCCCAATCAATACCGGGATGACTTTAACATTTTCTCCGGCATTATGCACAATCTGGCAATCTTAACATTCAGTTCGGACAATTTGCTGATCTTTTCCATTTGCTTTGCTGTTATACTGCAATCATCAAGTATGGCTACGTCAATGATTTGGCATTCATTTTCTTTTGTGTTGAGGATGACTATATTTGGTCTTCAGTGTCCAATAATTCGATCATCATTATGATTATTTCCCTCTATTCCCTATCCTAGTATAATTGTGCGTGTCCCCTCCCTTCATTAGTTAGCACTATCGTTACGCCCTGCCAATATTACGCAAATAATAGACAATCCTGTTTTGATCGCATAGAAAGGGAGGAAAAGACACTACTTGGTTTCAGTGAGAAAATGAGTGAAAGAAAGAAAGTAAGAGCGAAGTGTTTAATGTATCCTGACAATATCTGATAAATAATGGACTATTTCATTTTTACTGCGTTGAAAAACAAAACACGTATCAGAGACGCTACTTGGTTTCAGTGAGAAAATGAAAAAGGGAAGCTAGAAGTGTTTAACGTCTGTTTCAGTGAAATGGGAAAAGTTGTCAATTTCAAATCTTTTCATTTGTACCCCCTTACTTCTTAAAATAATGACCAGCATTCATATTTATGATTGTTATTGCAATATTTTGTTAAAGCTCAACTATTTAATGATGGTATAGAGTAATTTCTACGGATACTTTACTGTCGTAGAATTCGCCATGAGCTTAACTTAAGAATTAAGATTCATCAGAATATTAAAATAGGAAAATCGTGAAATTTTCACGGGTTAAAACTAATTATTATTATTATTATTTGTGTATGTTATGCTTCCTGCTTTGTATCCTGTAGAGCCGGGTTCAAACTATGGTCCTTAGGCCCTATAGGAGAATTATCATTTAATTGATAGCACTTTTCTTATTAAATGGGATGTTCCTAGTAGGACGATTATCTGGGCAACTTGTATGTTGATGCTACCTGAGATGCTATTAGCAAAATTGTCCACACCTTTTCTCACGATGCCCAGTGCTCCGATTACTATTGGCACAGTCTCAGTCTTGATTCCCCACATCCTGTTAATCTCGATCTCTAGGTCCTTGTATTTGGACAATTTCTAGATACACTTCCTGAATGTCTATTATTTCAGTTTGAATTCCCAGAGGATAGTTATTTTGTGTAACTGTGTCATACCATCTCTCAGTGGTTTCGATTTGGTGCTTCTGGCATATCTTCCAGTGCACATATGTCGCTGTCTTGTTATGTCTGTGGGTATATTCCTTTTTTGCTAGTTCCGGACATTCTGAGATAATATGGTCGACAGTTTCCTCATACTTTCCGCAGATCCTGCATTTCGGGTTAGTTCCATCCTTGATTATATGACAGTGATAAGATCTGGCGGTGAGACATTGGTCCTGAGCTGCAATAATTAAACCTTTTGTCTCAGCTTTCAACCCAGTGCTCCTCAGCCACTGATGTGTTTTCTGTTGGTCGACATCTGCTTCTTTCGTTCTTTCTACGTATTTGCCATGCAACGCTTTGTCCTTCCCAGTTTTGTCATTATTATTATTAATAATATTATTATTAATTCTTACGGCTTCTTCCTTGCTTACTGTTTCAGAAAGAGGTACATTTAATGTGCTGAAAGGGAGAACATGGGACAAAGAAGCCCAAGATTTTGTGAAGAAACGCCTCAAAATGGAAGAACAAGCTTCATGAAGATAAAACAAGGCTTGCAGATCAATTTTTGATGAAAAAGTTACACACCGAAACTTGCCTCCCTCCTCAAATTTAACCCCGTTCTTTTGTTGTTGTTTGTTTTCCCATCCCATCTGCAATAATCATCAATGTTGTCTTTTTTCGACTTTCAATCGTTAACCTCTGAAGAACATTCTTTCCCGCTGTTTTTCTCTCCTGCCAATCAGTTTTTTTTTTCCATCAGAATCAACATGGCGGTAGCTACGGCAACTCAAGGAACATCACAATCATCATTATAGTAACTCGTGCAGGCGGCAATTTCAAATTGATCATATTTCATTCAAGAAAAAAATTACCTCTTTGCTGTAAAGATATATATATATATATATATATATATATATATATATATATATATATATATATATATATAATAGATCTAGATCGTTTTCTATACCATTGCCATATTGGGAAGTGTCTTATTAACGTTTTTTTTTGACAGCATCAGTAATTTTTTTCTTTGATCAGAGAAAACAAATATATTTTAAAATAGAGAAACATTTTTATTAACATGGATAGAAAATCCTCAAAATTACTGTCTTAATGATAGCACCGTTGTTTGATTGTTAATGAAAACCCTAATAGGGTTGTGCTCTGCAAGAAAGAATTATTCTCAGTTTCTTTTCCCCCATTATAGGCATTAATATATCCATTATATAGTAACACCTTAATACACAGAGGGAAGAGAATGGCTGAAAGAAAGGAATGACAAAGAGATTTTTATACACACTTATCTGTCCTACACAGAGAAACTATAACATATGTACAACAAGCAGTGTGAAAGGGGAGAAAAGAGAGAGCGAGTCTTACTTTTGAAATTTCACAACAGGAAAAAGGGCAGTTCTGTGGTGTCCTTTATGTTTTGGGTGAGACTATGTGATTTTCTCTGTATGCCATAACTCTGTGGGCGTGTAACGTCTGTCTTCACTGCAGCTTACATAACAACTCGTGTGGGAAGGCACGTATTGACTCTAGGAGTGCTAACTACAAACTTGCTTTCGTCATTCTATGGACTGACGCCACTCAGGGTCGCCACTGCACTCACGTGACTTCATCTCAACTAAACGGAGATAATCGCCTTTTGTATCTCTACAATCCATAATAAATTACTCTGTTTCATCACAAATACATTAACGTGGAAAACAAGCTATAAATTTTTTTCTGAATTATATTATTATATATTTGTTAGGAGATGAAGCATTGTCAACCATTATTATTTTTTGGCTAGGATTTCTTTCATTTTCATTTCAATTGTTTTATTTCTATGATAATGGCTACAGAACGAGAGTTTAAATAGTTTTAACAACTAGAAATTCAAATTAAGATTAAATAAATCCGAGTAAATTTAATAATATCATATTAAATATTGACTTATAAATCTTCCACATTTTACTTGCTTTCTTTCCACTAATAGTAATAGTAATGATATTATCGTGATTTCTTATTCGATGAAATCATGTCAGCCATTATTCATTTTTGCCAAGGATTTCTTTCATCTTAATTTCTCATGCTTTTTATTACATTAGCAGTATTATTATTATTATTATTATTATTATTATTATTATCTTGAAATTTTATTATTATATGAATCATTGTCAACAGTTGTTAATTTTACTAGGATCTCTTTCATCTTAATTTCAACTGTTTCATTTCCACTAGTAGTAGCAATAGTATCTGGAAGTTTTAGAAGACCATTCAACCATTTTTCATTTTTGACTAACATTCCTTTCATCTTAATTACAATTGTTTTATTTCCACTAGTAATTTTAGTAGTAATATTATCTGGAATTAGATGAATCAATGTCAACCTTTATTCATTTTTGAGTAGGATTTCTTTCATCTTCATTTTAATTTCTTTATTTCCACGAATAATATTAGTAGTAGTAATATTATCGTAATTTTTTATTAGATGAAGCATTGTCAACCATTATTCATTTTTATTAGTATTTCTTTTCATCGTAATTTTACTTATTATGTAATATCTATGATACTTAACGGTCGTAGAAAGTAAAACGACCTGAAAGTTGTGTCTATAATAACATTTATAAGAAACAAAGATGACTGATCAACATATTGATAATTCTTCATCTCATCAATAAATGAAAAAAAAAAACTTCTGTCGAAATTATTTTTAAATTTACTACGCGCTTTGTCTATGACATTTGATCGTGTTTTAATCTTTAAAAATACCATATATGCTGTCAAAAAATTAAAATAAGACTTTCATTCAAACTTTGAAATAAATAATAAAAAAAGCGTTCGATTACTCTTCCTGATCTTCAAATGTAATGTACCTTTACGTTTAACACCAAAAGTCTTTCCTTCCATTCTGACACCCATTTTCGACTACTTTGTCACATTTCCTCTTCAGATATCTTAATTTTTCGTACTCCCTGGCCCCCATTCCAATCCCATCTAACCTGGTTAGCATCCATTTTTGCCGTGGTAGCGGGAGAGGAAATTCTCCACAGAAAAAAAAAGTCCATTTTTAAAAGAAAATATCCACCCTTACCCATCAGATAATCCAAACAGCCGTTATCCGTTTACCGATCAGTATGTACGGTCATATTGATCTTTTAATTACTCGTTACAATATCAACCAATACCTCTCCGTCATTTCCCAAACTTAAACCCAGATATTTAACTCAATAAAAGATAATGAAGCCGCAAAGGACTTTTTTTAAAAGTAATGGCAGACTACATGATAAGATTGGCGGGAGTTTTAACTATTTCAATGAACAAAAACACGAAACACACTTACGTTCAGACACACAGATATGCGTAAATGCCCAACGTAGTAACTTTATAGTGCGTCTTTATTTTTTTCGTGAATTTTTGTGCATTTTTGTGTGTGATTTATCTTCTGTTATTAAATAAACCGATCCTTCACCCGCATGTCGTATGGATGCGCGCGCTTAAGTGTATAAACGCTGATATTCCCCAATATGGCATGCAAAATAATTATATAACCTGACTGTCCCAGAATTATTCTATTTCAATGAAATTGGGTAAATTTAAAAAAAAACTGACTCAAGTTTATGTTTATTAATTAATTATGATACAAAACAAATAGATTTAAAAATCTTACGTCAAAAATTTTATTGAAAATCCTCAACGTGTGCTCCGTCTGTATACCTGCAAATTTCAAATCTATTCTTAGCGTTTCAAAACACATTTTGAAGCATTTCAGGGGTGATCTCATGCACTGTTTATTGAATGTCTTTTTCTTTAAGCTCAGCTAAAATATTGATCTTTTGACGATAAAGCTTTGTTTTTTTTTTTTTTATGAAAGCCCTTGCAAAGAAATCTAGGTGAGTCAACAAAGATGCGTTCTTGTGTATCCATTATTAACAGAGTCCTGAAAGGGAATGAAAATAAATTAAGAAAATTATAAACAAAATTTGAAATTTTTATAATTCTAACATTTAATTTTAACAGAAATAAAAGTGAGTTATTTTTTTTTTTAAATTGTCCAATTTCACTGAAATAGAAAGTTAATTCTGGGACACTATATATATATATATATATATATATATATATATATATATATATATATATATATATATATATATATATATTTATATATATATATATCCTACTATTTGGAACGTTATTTTGTGTATACCCCTGTTTGAGTAGACGCCTTGTTTTTTTTTTTTAAAAAGAGTGTAAATTCCGACAGCTTGCCTGCGCATTCGCAAATAATAAAGTAAATGTGCCCTCCAGCAGGGCTCGAATCTGCGTCCTCCTTTGTAAGAGAAAACACCGGCTGATCTGGGAAGGCTCAAATCTTTCGGCTATAGAGATCGTTATCGCCCAGATAGAGTCATTAACTGCATATATACACTTGTTCATATTTTACGGAAAGCAATATCTGCTCGTTCTTTTGTACTCGAAACTTAAACAAAGTAATTTCTAAAAAAATATCAGGGCGTCTACTCAAACATGGGTATCCAAAAAATAACGTTTGGAATAATAGGAAATAATGTTGATAAGAAATCCATGAATTTTAGAAGTATATATATATATATATATATATATATATATATATAATTATTAGAATATATATATATATATATATATAATTCATTATAATATATATATATATATATATATATATATATATATATCAAATGATGGTGGTTACCCCGTATCTGAAATAGACGCTGCGTTTTTATTTTAAACAGTGTGTTATTACGTCTATCGCTTGCGCACTCGAGAAATTTTAATGAAGAAAATGTGCTCTCCGGCCGGGGTTCGAACCTGTGTACTCCTTTGTAGGAAAAACCAGTTTGAACCGTAGGTTTCTCCTACAAATAGGGTGTAATTTTGAACTCTGATTTCTTGAGTGTGCAGGCCAATGGATATAATACACACCGTTTAAAATAAAAGCGGAACGTCTATTTCAAATACGATTATTAAAAATGATGTTTGAAGTAACAAAAATGTCGGATTAAAAAAAACTATTATAAAATATATATATTATATATATATATATATATATATATATATATATATATATATATATATATATATATTTTTTTAAAGACGACAGACAAGTTACTGGGATTAAGCTTCTCATTTAATTTTTCTTGTGTTCGAAAAAGCGATTTTTCTGGACACAGAGTGTGTAGAAACTGTCCAAATGTTCTATCATTCCGAGCGCTTTCGGCTATAATGTTTAGCCATTATCAAGGATGATTTTATTTTTAATTTTTTTATTGGTTGTATGGGTTGTGTGTATGTTTCTAGAATTATAGGGATGTTTTAATGTGTTGTGTTCGGAAAATAAAGCATCCCTATAACACTTGTACACTTTCTACACACTCTGTGTTCAGAAAAGAAAACACTTTTCCGAACACAAAAATGTTAATCGCACTATTTGTCCGTCGTCTTTTAATGAAACATGTATAAATGAAGGATTTCTGCCTAAATACACAATTATATATATATATATATATATA